GAGTCATGGGCGTATGCGATGCTGTCCTTTAGTAAGACGTAAATCAGATTAGGGACCTTGGTATAAGAAAATACTTCGTGTAACAATCAATCAATATACCTTTGTATGGCTGTTTAGGGTTCAGTCCCTCAGGGAGGCTGGACCTTCCTGCTGCCACGTAGGCCTTAAAATTTCATCTTGGAGTGCCTTCTTTCTTCAAACAACCAGTGTACACGGTGCACCCCGGCATGCACTGTGCGTGTGTGCCTGCGTGCGTGTGGTGCTGGAAAAATGGCTTAGTGGTTAAGAGCATTTGTTCCTCTCTGGAGGACGTGAGTTTAGTTCCCCGAGCACACACTGTCTCACAACCATCGTCACTTCAGTTGCAGAGGATCTAACACTGTCTTCTGGCCTCAATAGGCACCAAGTATATTTGTATACAGATGTATTTGTAGGCAAAACAGCCATACACAAAACATTTTTAAAAGTTTTTAAAATTCAAAAATGTGTTTGTTTGGTGAGGCCTGGGGAGATGATTCAGCAGTTAAAAGACAGTAGTGCTCTTCCTGAGGATCCGCTTTCGATTCCCAGCACCCACACCAGGAAGCTTACAACTCCAGGGGATCTCACACCTGCTACTTAAGGGGACTGGACTCTCATGGAGAACACACACACACACACATAGTAAAAATTAAAAATAGCATTTCTTTAAAATGTGTGTAGCGATATACAGCTGGACTCCTAGTGTTCTAGTGGTAGACAGGCAAATTCCTGGAGCTCACTGGCTAGCCAGCTTAGATGAGTCAGTGAGCTCATTTAAGATCAATGAGAGACAGTCAAAAATTAAGGGGAGGAAACTGAGGAAGACACCCATCAACCTTAGACCTCACATGCACACACCCAGACATACATACCCAAGTAAAAGAAACAGAAATGATCTAAACTAACCAACAGTAGGATGGTTAGAAAGAGGAAAGACAGCACTATTTCCATTTTTTTTTTTTTTTTTGGAAAAGCATCTATGGCCGGGTGGTGGTGGCACACCTTTAATCCCAGCACTCTAGAGGCAGAGGCAGGTGGATTTCTGTGAGTTTGAGGTCAGAAAATACAGTCTCAGATGAGAACCTGTCGTAAACCCTACACATCTACTTACACAAGTTTACAGAGAATCTTAGAGGAGACATAGTGCATGATACAGTTACATTCTAGAAAGCTTTGCCAGGACAGTTTGAGGCAGACAACGGCCTTTTCATCTCTTAACATGGTGTGTGTGTGTGAATGCACGCCTGATAAAGCACCAAGCCAACAGATCTTGGAAATACAATCTTAATATAGGAAGAAAAGAATATGACTCTTCTTGATTTTTTTTTTTTTTTTTTTTTGGTTTTTCGAGACAGGGTTTCTCTGTAGTTTTGGAGCCTGTCCTGGAACTAGCTCTTGTAGACCAGGCTGGTCTCGAACTCACAGAGATCCGCCTGCCTCTGCCTCCCGAGTGCTGGGATTAAAGGCGTGCGCCACCACCGCCCGGCTCTCTTCTTGATTTATTAAAGACCCCTTCCGAACAGAATAAAACAAAGTTAAAGATGCTAAAACTAGAACAGACCTAGTCAAGGACTACAGCCTCTGTGTCCCTACACCAGCACTTCCTCTGTGCGCACCTACAGCAGCATTTCCTGTCTGAGTTACAGCTCCACGAGCACACTACCCATGTGGGCCCGCACAGACTAAACGATCCTCTGCTAAAAAGCCTGGTGTCTCACAATAAAAGATGGTTTTGATCTATAACTATGAAAGCAATGAACTAGGAAAATTTTAAAAATTTATCACTATAAAAACATTTTTCCTAAATAAGGTGGGTTTTTTGTTTTGTTTTTTTGGTTTGGTTTTTCAAGACACGGTTTCTCTGCTTGGCTGTCCTGGAACTCACTCTGTAGACCAAGCTGGTCTTAAATTCAGAGAGCTCCACCTGCTTCCGCCTCTCGAGTATTGGGATTGACAGCATGTGCCGCCACAGCCCGGCTTAAATATATTTTTTTTAATAGAGAAGAAAACGGTTTAATAAAATGAAAACAGAAGCCCAACAAAGGGTTGAAGAAATAATATAGCTCAGTAGTAGAGGTTTTGACTAGCATTCACAAGATGCCAGTCTTGTTATGTTTAATACCCAGAGCATAACCAAGTATAAACAAAATCAACTAGTAATCATAACACATATTAGCTTTAGATACTTTTTCCTCTACTTTTTTGGGGTGGTGGGTGGGAATGAGCAGGGCCTATTATGTAGCTCTGGCCGACCTGGCACTGACTATGTAGACCAGGCTGTCCTTGAACTCACTGAGATCCACCTGCCTCTGTTTCCCATGTGCTGGGATTAAAAAGGTGTTCATCACCTTTTTATGTATGTGCACCAGTCCTGGCAGAACATATTGCATGTATGTACTTGCATGAATTCAAGTAAACTATATGTGTGCAGGAGCCTGTGGAAACCAGAAGAAGGAACCAGATCCCCTGGAACCGGAGTTACAGATGGTGTTAGCCACCACATGGTGCTGGGAACCAAACCTGGGTCACCTACAAGCACAGTAAGGGCTCTTAACTGACAAACCAGCTGGTCAGCCGAGAGAAAAAGAATTGATTGAGGAACCTAACTAACAGATGGGAGAGATCAAAGGATCTAAGCTCATAGCTAGTATGGTACAGACCAACTGCAGCAGTATTTTCTTTTCAGCCTTCTCTGAGGCCTCAGGCTCACATGCTCTGGGGAATAAATAAGCAGAAAGGAGAAAGGGGGCACAGGAAGTGGTGCAGAACTACTTTATAAGTCATCAAGATAAGAACACCTGTACTGCTCTTCTCTGGGAAATCTACAATAATACAGCCTCCCAACACTTGGCTAGCTGTTACTACAAAAATGGACCAATTGGTCAAACACCACCTACAGCTAGCAAGGAATAAATCACTGTAGGTCAGTGGGGGGGGGGGGGCATTATGCAACACTTCCCAGCAGCACAGCCATGGTCAGGATATTTTACTGCCAAGCCACTTGGGCCCCTCCTCCCAGCTAGACAGCCTGGCTCCTTTGCATTCCCCTCAGGAGATAGGGTGGAAGTACATAGCTCCACTCTGTGAGGCACAGAGGGCAGCTGAAAGTCCTGCCTGGCCTCTCTGGGCAACCACAGGCGCCAATAAATCAGCCACAGGCGATTCTCTCATCCCCCTTCCCAGCTTGAAGTGGGAGCAAGATACAAGGCAAAGGAGCACTGACTAGACTTAGAAGATAAGTGATCTAGGCTTACATTCCTCTGCAAATGACCGGCATCACAGTCAGAACGTCTCTCTGGTTCCTTTCTGCACACTTAAAACATGTTTAACACGGACACAATACCATCTGTTTAGGGAATTCACCTATGAAAACAGCTGGCAGAGGTTAACATATGAAACTAAACAAACAGCGACAACAAGTCATTTATAGCTAAAAAAAAAAAAAAAACCAAACCGTCATTATAGGGTTGGGCACAAGTGTCTAGTGTGTGTGTGTGTGTGGAGGGGGGGCTCTTCTTGCTGTCCATCCCCGATGTTTTCACCACTTCTTAACTACACCCCAATCACCTGAAATATTTCATGTCTATCCCACTGGCTGGCAGTGGCTCACTGATCTGATCTTAACTAAAACAGACCCCGGCTGCTGAAAGACTGCTGCTGCCTAAACTAAAGAAGAAAGGGTGGTCAGACAAGTTGGCATACACCTGTAGTCCCTGAACCCAGAAACCTGATGTAAGAAGGCCGATCACCAATTAATTCTACACTAGCCTGGACTATATACCAAGACGCTAAGTCTGAAAAAACAAAATAGGTAAGTGTCAGGGCCTGTCCCTGTGAGTATAATAAAGTTGAATTGGTGTTGGGGGTGTAGAAGAGGAAATGAGATTTTGGCTCCAAAATACACTGCCGTACAACTCACCCAGAAACACTGTCCTATCCGCTACTCTCTAGAGCCATCGCAATAGCCAGGCCGAACTTTCCAATCAACCTGAGATGTCCTGCAAGCCAAGTGCAATCACTTCTGGGGGGATACACTGTCCGAAGCAGGATGAACCAGCACTGCCGTCCTGGCACAAAAAATGTCTGCAGCCCTAAAGCCTAACCCTGAAAGGGCTGCACCTTGATCATCTTGATCAAGCAACACTATGCTCTTTAGGTCCGGTGTCTTCTGTGAAATGAGAGGGATGAACTCCATTTTACTTAAGGTCCCTTTCAGTTCTGAAAACCCAGATTCCAAGATGTACTTTAATCCTGTCAATCAACAGCTCCGCAGCTTTTAAAGGACTTGCTAGAACGCCAAATTCAATCCCTTAGAGGGATACGGGAGCTAATTTATAAAACACAACACTAGCTATCAGGTTCCAGGTACAGCGCTGTGCGTCTCCTAAGCAACTGATAACAGCTTGATTTCTCCAATCGTGTGCAAGGGAGGCGGTGAGAAGATGGGGGAAGACTCCAAAAAAGAAAAATGCATTTGGCTATAATAAAACACGTGGGGGGAAAAATAACTGATCAGGGTTGGGGGCTACCTGCCTTAGAAACTAGGTACTCACAAACTGGATGGGGGAGGGGACAGTGATGGCTGCGCAGCCTGATCAGGATACCCGCCCACTAGCTAGAGCCAAAGGCCTGGCGTAGTCGCCCAGAGCTAGCATCCACTGACGGGTCGGAACCTGGCCCGCAGCGGGTTGGGCTCCAAGGCTGTGCAGAGCCCGCGCGCGCCATCCCGCCTGCGTTAGGCCCCGGCGGCGGCCCACAGCCAAGGGCGGCTCCAGGCGCCGCGCGCCCAGCACTCGCTCGCCGTTGCTAATTTCCTCCGGGGCCCTGACTGACATCTCCAACGGACCAAAAACACCCCTGTCCCCGGCTACTTGCATCTGTCCCGCGACCGGTGCAGCTGCAGCCGCCGCCCGGGGCGGTTCGCGGCGGGAGGGACTGAGCCCGGAGCAGCCCCACGGGGGCAGGGCCGCGTTGCTTACCCAGACTCCGCCGCGGCGGCGGGCGGGCTCCCGCGCTGCGCCGCGCTGCGCACAGCACGCGCCAGCGCCAGCTCACGCACCCGGCGGGCTGCTCTCGCGCGGCTTCCCGCGCCGGGCCCACGTGACCTGGCTGCCGGGGGAGCCGGCGGCACCCGGACTGGTGTGCATCGCGTGCGTGCGTGCGTACGTGCGCGCCTGCTGCCGGAGTGGCCCAGGCGGGGGTCGGCGAGCGCTTCGGGCGCCTCTGCCACGGTCCCCCCAGTCGTGACTGGAGGCGGAAGTGTGGGGACAAGCCTGAGCGTCACAGGCTCCCCTACACGCCTCCGCGTGACCCCGGGGACTTTCCCCCTGGCGTGTGCAAAAGCACGGGTGCCCCCCTCGGCCCTGGGTGGGGACGGGCAAGGGATGCACCCGCGGGTGGGGCGGGAGCGGGGTGAGGGCGCGGGGCAGGCAGCCGCGCGCGGCGGGAGCCAGGGCAGGAGGCGGGCCGGGCGGGGCATGGCGGGGGAAGTGACTCAGGCCACAGGCCGGCGGGCCCGCGCGAGGAGGGGTGGAGGGGCGCGGGGAACGGGCGACCCCGAGCGGACGAGCTTCAAGCGGGACTGGACGAGGGTGTCAGCACCCCCAGAGCGTCCAGGGTGGAGCGCGGGGGCGGGCCCAACTGCGGGGCCCTGCGGGGCAGGGGTCTGATATCTGGGCACAGGCGAGCAGCATCCAGCCCCCGGGGGGGAGTCGGGAGGATCCCAGCGGCGTCCAGCTGTGCAAACAGGAGGAGGGCTAAGGCGACCCAGGGGACAGGGGTGAGAGTGCTGCTCCAGCCGCCGCCCGGGCGCCCGCGCTGCTGCGGGCAGTGCCAGCCTCCTCGGCCCCGACGCAGAAACTTGTTGCAACCAACAGGCGACCGCGGGTGCCCCTAGCCGCCAGCGGCGGAGTGGGTGGGCGGGCGAGAGGGAGGGGAAGGCTGGCGGACGCCGCGGCGAACTGGTGGGCAGACCCGGAGTCGCCGCGTAAGCGGGGCCGGCTCAGTGCGGTGCGGCAGGCGCGGCTGTGCGGCAGCGGAAGTCCTTTGTTGCAGCGCAGTCCCTGGCACAGCCGGAGTGTCTCGGCGCAGCCCAGCCGAGCGCCGCGCGCCGTCAACTGCAGCCCGCGGTCCCTCGCCTTCGCCGGCCCGCCCGCTCACCCCGCGGCCCCGCCGCTCGAAACTCCCGAAAACCTCCGCAGCCGCGCGTCCCGTCGCGCCCGGTGAGTATCTGCCAGTCGTCGGAGCGATTTGCGCAACTTTGACCCGAGCCGGGCCACGGGCCTGGCGTGGAGTGCGTGGCCCGCGGCGGCGGCGACCGGTGCGGGGGAAGCCGGAGCGCGGAGGGCGCGCGGCGAGGATCCGGTGGCGGGGGGCTGCTGAGCCGGCCCGCCTGCTTCGGTGCCGGCGGTCAGTCCGGTGCGCGCGGCCTCCCCGGGTCCGGGACGAATCCCCTCTCCAGACGACTTCCCAAATTACTTCTTTTTCCTTTTATTTTATTTTGGGGTGGGGGAGGGGGAGGTGGAGGCGGGAGGCCGCGCTTGATTGACGGGCCCGGAGCGCGCTTCGCTAACTTCCAGCTGCGGCCGGGCGGTCGGTGGGAGGGGAGCGTCCCGGAGCCGGAGGCCGCAGACTTGGGCGCGCTCCGAGGGAGGAGGCGGCTGGGCCGCGCGGATTCCTGCTTCGCTCTTTCCCACCCCCTCTCGTCAGCACACACGCTTTTTGTTCGGGTCAAAAGTGGTAGGTCTCGGGGGGTTGGGGATTTTTCTGTGGACGAGATTTTTTTTTTTTCCTTTCACCCCCGACTCCCGAAAAGAAAGTGCTTTTCGCCTCCAGTGGTGGGCGCTTACAAGTAGAAGTTCTGGGAGAGGCGGTGAGCGAGTTGGGTGGCGATCGGGAGTCCTTGCGGCTGGAGCGCGCCGGCGTGGGTCTGAGCTCAGCTGCCGCTCCCCGGCTGCCTCTCCACCTGAGCCTCGCGTCCACGTGATCGGACGGCTTGACAAGACATTTTCCAACTCCGGACGCGTCAGGAGCAGGTTAATGAAAGTCCTTGTTTTCTGGGGCTAGAGTATTTGTATTTGTGTGATCGTGTTCCTGAGTCGAGTCGACTGTCGCTGTGAAGGTACATGTAGATTCTCCACTGGTCAGAATGTAGCTCCGTACAGTACGTATCGCTGCGGCAACATTTTTCCCTTTGACACTGGAATCCACAAAGCGTTCCAAGCATTTTTTTTTTTTTTTTGAGACACGGTCTGGCAAGGTAAGCCCAGGCTCGCTTGGTCGTCTGTCTACCTTAGGAAATCCTAAATTCTGGATTGAAAGGCATGAGCCACCAAGCCTGGTTTTGTGTTCATAAGACAACTTAGAGTTAACTTCTTGAGCCGAAGTTCGAGGCACCTTGAAGCAGTTTTGGGGAAACGATGTAGTTCTTATGATAACATTAAAGCAACCTTGGTTTGAAAGGGGTATAAAATAGATTCTCTAACTTTGTCACCTCCAATGGATGTGATCTAGATGGAGGTGCAGGATTCTGAAGCCTGAATGGAGGCTGGTCGGTTGCCCAGAACCGTAAACTTCCCTTTTGAATCACTTGCTGTTATCTCCTAAAGTCTTAGCAATACTGAGTGGCATTAGGAGCTAAGCAGGGTTCTTCCTCTTAAAGAAATAGATGGAACTAAAGTGGGGAAGAGGTGAAATGTCTTTCCAAAGGTTAATAAGTAGGAATTCCACGGTACAGTGTTGGTTATAGCATCTTACAACCATTTTAACAACAGGATTTCACTATTGACACCAAAATTTTACAGGGTGTGGTTGTGCATGCCTATAATCCCAGCACTTTAGAGGCTGGATTGGGTGTTGGAGGCTAACCTGGACTTGGCCTGGACTTTAAAAAACAAAACAAAACTTGCGACTAGAGAGATGGCTCAATGGTTAATGGCACTTGGTTTTCTTCCGGGGAGCCGAATTTGGCTCCCAGCCCCCTTATCAGGCAGCTCACAACTGCCTGTAACTCCAGTTCCAGGGAACTCCTGTGCATATACCCCTCCCCCACATAAACACATAACTAGAAAAAAACCAAACAAACCAAAGTCTGTTTTCATGATACTAAATTCTTCCAATTTCTAACATCAGGAGCACTCTGTTTTGATCCAGAGCTTGTGGTGGGTACATCATTGTCAGAAAAGAACCCATTTTTAACTAGGGCATAAGCATAGCTTCTTGACCATGTGTGTGTGTTTGTGTTCCTTCTCTTTCTGTGTGTGCTCTGTAGAGCAGGCTGGCCTCAGACTCAGAGATCTGCCTGCCTCTGCCTCTTAAGAGTTAGAATTAGTGGCATGCAGCACCATGTTGACTGTTTTTTATTTTGTTTTGATTTTTTTTTTAAGTTAGACTTTGGTTTTTGGCCCAGGACTGGCCTTAGCTTTCTATCCTCCGGCTCCAGCCTCTCATTGGTGTTGGGATAACATGCTTGTGACTTTGTGGGTTTTATTTGTTTTGTTTTGTTTTCTGAAACAGGGTCTCATCTTGTAGCACTGACTGGCCTGGAACTCGGAGAGGGTGTACCCACCTCTGCCTCCACCGCCCTAGGATTAAAGGTTTGTGCTGCCAAGCCTGCTCACGACCTTGTGTTTTGTGGTAGCTGCAGCTTTGTGCCTTCTGCTTCCTCACTCTCCATGTTTGTCAGTTTCTGGTACAATGAGGCCCCTTTCAAAGTGTCCAGTGTTCTTGCAACACCATTTTTTAATTTTTAACATTCAGGAAAAAGTATTGCTGCCCTTTGTGTGGGGGGGGAGGGTAGTGTTCCTCTCTAGCCAGGACAGACTATATCTTTGCCTAAAGCGAGGGGTAGGGGATGGGACATTTATGATAGAAATGCTAAGTAATATTTTTAGACTGCAGTCTTTTGTCTTGGGAGGACCTGTGAAACATCTGCTCCAGGGTTCACTTTGGTCTCTGTCGTATTTTTGATGCTTCCTTGTGATAGTGTCTCGGTTAATAAAATAGTGGAAATGCTTTACTGTTCTTCTGTGAGCATAATTAACTTATTTCTATCCATTGTTCCTTAAAGTAGGAAGGAATGTCCTTCCTTCCTTTTTTTTTTTTTTAATTAATTTATTTTTTGAGCTGGAGTTTCTCTTTTTTTTGTGTAGCCCTGGCTGTCCTGGGAACTTAGGTCTGTAGACCAGGCTGGGAGATTCACCTGCCTCTGCCTCCTGAGTGCTGGGTGGAATCCTGTTTCAATGGTAGAAATGCATGTTCTTTAAAAAATTCAACCTGTACTAAAGTACACAAAATACAAAACAGGGAAGCTGCTGTGACTCCCACTCCCCAGAGATAATCACTGAACAGTCCGTTCCTTGCTTTAATAATATGAAGGCAGCATCTGTGCAATTGCTGCTGCCTGTGCCTTGCTCTGGCCCGTTCCTGTTCATAGGCTCCTGTTCTCTTTTCAGAGCTCAGATTGGTGAAAATTGACAGGGAACAGGAAAGGAGGGAGGGTTTATTGCATTGAGCTGATGTCAAATTCTATAATTTAGTAATGTGTAAGTTTTTATGTTTAATAGGGCTGCTGTTTTAGTTTACCTTGGTGGGCTTCCTCTCATCCTTTGCAAGTGTTGCGATCAATCTATTATCTGGTTGGTATATGCAGGCTAAACTCATTAAAACCCTTCATTTGTAGAGAGCTTCCTACCTTACCATTGGGAATAAGTGGGTATACTTGACTCTAAAACCACTGCCGAGATATCCCTGTGTCTTTTTGTGATGGTGCGGCTTCCTCTTGATCAGCATCCAAAGCTGCAGACAAACATGATGGGAAGGAAATCAGAAGGAAGGGGACATTAATGACTGCGTTGTTGTAGGTTATGACATGGGAAGGAAGGACTAACTGTGGGGGGGGGGGCACTGCAAGGACTCTGGCCTAAATTTTACTCACATTTGGCATTTCATATATTTAAGGTGCGTGTCTAAGTATAAAAGTTACTTAACCTGGTGTATTCAAGAAAGATGAGCTGTGAAGTTGGTTTTCTAATAAAGCCCGAAAACAATACATGCAAATTTAATGCACACAAATTTAATTAAGGGTGTTGAGGACACGCTTTTTTGGGACACTATTATGTGAATATAAATTGTTCTCAATCATGCTTCAAGGCTAGAGGTATAACTTAGTGGTAGAGTGCTTGTCTATCCTGTTTGAGGCCCTAAGTTCAACCTTCAGCACTGCAAAATATAATGAGTATTAAAAGTTAAAGGAAGCCTGGCGGTGGTGGCGCACGCCTTTAATCCCAGCACTTGGGAGGCAGAGGCAGGCGGATCTCTGTGAGTTCGAGACCAGCCTGGTCTACAAGAGCTAGTTCCAGGACAGGCTCCAAAACCACAGAGAAACCCTGTCTCGAAAAACCAAAAAAAAAAAAAAAATAAAATAAAAAAATTAAAAAAAGAAAAAAAAATAAAAGTTAAAGGATAGCAGAGTGAGGGTGCATGACTTTAATCCCAACACTCAGAAGGCAGAGGCAAGTGGACTTCCCATAGGTTCAAGGCCAGCCAAGGATACTTAGCGAGACCCCCCCCCCCAAAAAAAAACCCCACAAAATATTAAATAATAAATTTCTGTGTGAGATTCATGTTGTCTGTTTAAGAGCTAACTGAAGAGCGTCTTCCCACTTGAAATTGCCAGCAGTGGGGGTGGGATGGGTGGTCAGCAGATGGAAAAGGCGATAGGGAGGGGTGCATTCTGCCTGCCTGCCTGCCAGATAAGACAGTGCAAGAACCACGGGAGCTTTTACAGTAATGTAAAGTGTGACAGTGGGAGGCTTAGAGTGTCCCAGAGGGGCTCCTCCGACTTAATAGTCATACCCAGGAAGTGTCTGGATTACAGAGACCGAAACACTGCATTTTGAATCAGGAGTTAGAGTTCCAGCCCCCTCTTTTGTTTACAGGATGAGTAGTTAACTGCCACACCTGTTTCTTCATTCATAAAAGTAAGGGTAGTTTAGAACCTATCTCATGGTGTTGTGAGAATCAGTTGACAAAGAATGTAAGTTGTCAACAAGGATTTAAAAGTTTCAGTGACAGCCAAAGCGAAAACTGATAAGCAGAATAAGACTTGCCCACTTCGACATTTATTCCTTGAAAACCTCGTTAAATATACAGCCACACGTCAAGTAACTACTAAAAGCTAGAGGTTGTAGTGAAGACTGACGGGACACCTTGTTCTCAAGGA